CTTGTATCTGCAGCCAAACGATGATTGCAATTGATGTGATTACATGAACAGCTTCTTAGCTGAGTCAGATGACAGTTTTTCAATATCAGAAGTATATTTCCTCAATTTTCCTCTTTTTACAATGTAATGCAACAACGTACAGACACAACACACCTTTATATTTAATTTGCTTTGTCAACATTTTCTCCATCTCTTTAAGTATAGACAAGCAGTAAAGCAATAAATCAAACCCTAATTTGCAGCATTTGCCAATTTCCATGGTGTAAATACTTCCCCTACAGCAGATTTCAAGCTACCAACATGATCATTGAACAGGTAGTTGGGAAGAGATACCATTTTTTAGTATTTCCATCATAGACACAGTAGAGGTAAATAACTTCAACAGCACAGATAAATGTGGTAGAATAACTAGGAAGTCATGAGTTTTGAGCTGATGCTACCTTTGTTTTTGAAATAACTTAAGTGTACATTTACATAATTATTTTTTTAATAATGGCCGTGTTTAACACCTGCATGGCAAAATCTTGAAAAATTAACAACCAGCTCCTATAAGCTGGCACCAGTAACCCTCCCAGCCCCCCACCCCCACCCCGAAATGCCACATGCAGGTCTCGCGATACTCTAACTTCACAGAACCCTCTGAGGTTGAGAACTTGTTCATGACTTCACCCTAACAAGTTATGGAGGTAATAGATTCTACAGCAATGCTGTGTTCAGCTCACTACATTATCTCCCAAGAAGCAATACATTTTTCAGCAGAAGTGAAAACTGCCTTACTGCAGACTGAAGAGCAAAATAAGGACACAGTCTCGGCAGATGGTGCTAATTACACATGCAGCCAACAGATGGCGAGCATGCCAGCCTCCTCCTAGTGAAAACTGCTTGACTGAATGTCAAGATGCGAACTATCTCGAATAAAAACTGTTTGGGTCTTCTGATGGGACAGGGAATTTTTCATAGCATTTGGGGTATTTGTGTACCTCCTCAGGAGGGTCGATTGCCATTTTCCCTCTAATCTTCCATTACACAATAATACTAGTTACAGTGGGGATGCATTCAAAGCCATCACGTGAACTTCATCAATTCATTTATTCCACATACGAAGTCCCATGAAGTATGAGTAACCATGTCTCACTTTTCCAGATGAGAAATTGCAACCGTTCCTCAATCCATTTGTTTATTTCATTAACATTTATTGAGATCCTGCCTTGACCCTACCCATAGTAGTAGCAGAATCAAGGTTCAAACTCAAGAAACTCAGCTCCAAATCTCATCTTCTTCCAGTATGTCAAATACCTGAGTTGTTATTACTTTCTTGAACAAGCCCCACCCCTGCAAAAATAATATGGTTGAATTTTATCTGAATTATTATCAAAGCTGTATGACAGTATGACAAGTTATTTCACCTGTTTGATCTAGTTTTCTCCCTCGTGGAGTCCCTGAAGTTCGTTTCTACCTCTTAGTCTATAACATTTCAGTTATCTAAGCAATAAATAAGAGAAGCTCATGGCATAAATTACTGCTGTTAGATATATTTGACATAGCTGAAGGCTTCAGGATTTTTGATATTGCATATAATATCAGAAACACATTTTAAAAAATATTTTAAACATCTTTATTGAGATACAGTGCACATACTATAAAATTCACTAATTTAAAATGTACAATTCAATGACTTTAGTATATTCATAGAATTCTGCAACTATCACCACAATCTAAGTTTAGAAAATTTTATCACCGAAAAAGAAAGCCTGTATCCATTAGAAGCCGTTCCTCAACCCTTGCCCTTCCCCAAGAAACCACTAATATACTTCCAATCTCTATGGGTTTGCCCATTCTAGATTTTTAAAATATAAATGAAATCATCCAATATGTAGTCTTTTGACTTCCTTCATTGAGTACAATGTTTTAGAAGTTCATCCATGTTGTAACATGTATCGGTACTTTATTCCTTTTTACTGACAAATAACATTCCATAGTACAGACATACTTGTTTATTCTTTCATCAGTTGATGGACATTTGGGTGGTTTTTTACCTTTTGACTTTTACGAATACTGCTGTTATGAAAATGCATGTACAAGTTTTTGTATGGATGTATGTTTGCATTTCTCTTTGAGTATATACCCAGGAGTGGAATCTGCATACACAGATTTTTTTTTACTTTTTTTTTTTTTTTTTTTTTGGCTATGTTGGGTCTTCATTGCTGCGTGCAGGCTTTCTCTAGTTGCGGCGAGCAGGAGCTACTCTTCGTTGTGGTGCGCATGCTTCTCATTGCTTTTCTTGTTGCAGCGTGAGGGCTCTAGGGCACGTGGGCTCAGTAGTTGTGGCTCACAGGCTCTAGAGCACAGGCTCAGTAGTTGTGGCACACGGGCTTAGTTGCTCAGCGGCATGTGAGATCTTCCTAGACCAGGGATCAAACCAGTGTCCCCTGCATTGGCAGGTGGATTCTTAACCACTGCGCCACCAGGGAAGTCCCCACACACAGTTTTTCAATGAGGGGCATACTAACTGATGCCGGAAAACCTTACATTATAATGAAGGCACACGACTCACAGACAGTGTAGGGAAAAGATGCACCACCGTTAAGGCAAAGTTCTCACCACAGCCTACAAGACCCTGTATGATCTGGGCACCCCTCCACCACCACCGTGGGGACAGTAGTGCCCCTTTGTGCTCATCCCCCCTCTGAGTCTTTGCACTTGCTGCTCCCCCTGTCAGTGATACTCTTGCCCAGGTGTTCATATGGTGTGTTCCCTCACTTTCTTCAAGCCTCTGTTCTCATCACCTATCCACAAAGGCCTTCTGGGGTCTGTCTGAAAAATAGTAGCCCCGTCCGCCATCTCTCGCTCACCCTACTTCATTTTTCTTTGTAGCACCTGTCATCACCTGACATCATATACTTTTGTTTATTTCTTTTCTATCTCCTACCACTGGAATGTAAGTTTACATGAGAATAGCAACTTTTTTTGACATTATATTCCCCAAAACCTACATCAATAAATGTATTAAAAATGAATCCATGCCTGACATACACTACAGCCTCAATAATAAGTAAATGAATAAAAGCAAGATAGATGTCCTTTTCTAAACTCACAGTCACTGAAGCAAATGGGATACATATCTCTGAAGCAATAAATGGAATGTTCCTATTGAATTCCAGATGCTCAGTCTTTTTATTGAATTTTTTTTCCAGTGAATTGAATTGATCCCCAATAGTTATAGTGGTAGCTATGAAAAAAGATGTCTTAGACAGCCAACATCTAGCTTCACAGGGAAAGTCATCAGAATAAGCCATAAGGTAGTTCCACAGGGAGCTCTACTGCTGAAACCAATGCACAATAAAATGAGGGCAAGTTAGTTTTGTTTTCTAATTTCATGCCTTAAAGAAGCATCCTGTGGCCTAAGTTTTTTAGTAATATCATTGAAATAACCAAAGATCTAACATCAACTAGGTGGCCACAGTTGTTGAAATACGTTCTGGGTCATATTTTGTGTTTTTACAATGCCTGGAACATCTACGATTCATGTCTTCCATCAGTGTTTGAATTCATGCAGAGAAGTCTAGCCTATCTGTTTAAAAGTGTTTTCCAAGAACAAAATAGGGAGAATGGTAATTTTGTTCAATGAAGTAGTTATTTTTAGACCTGGAAGAACCCTTAAAATCATCCAGGACAGTATATGTTGTGTTGTGCTGTTTTTGGTCAGCTGGACCTTTCCCCAAAAGAAATCTTAAGAGGAGATCCAGTGGGAAGTGAGTGGAGGTAGAGTCCCGCCAGTGACATGGGGTGATGAACCAGAAACCAGCCGCCCCATCCTGCAGTCCTGCAGTTTCCTTGGGAGTCCCCAGGGGGACCACAATGGACTCTTCATAGCAAAGTTAAAAAACACGGATTTAATCCAACCTTCTTGTCTCACAAATAAGGAAAGGAGGCTCAGCCAGTGCTCAGTTGAGTTTTAAGTCTCCTACAATAAGATACAGACATTGTCTCACTGACTCCTCCCACCCCCTATAAAGCAGCATTTATTAGGTCACATCCATTTTTACAGATAAGTGAGCATTACTTCCTCAAAGAGCTTTTTCTGACACCCCAGACTAACTTAAGTCTCCTGTGTGTTCCTTCAATACCATGCCCTTCTCTTCTTGAAATTATCATCACGATTTTAATAGTGTTTTCAGTGCATGTCTACCCTCTTAGTTATAAGCCCTATGGCAGCAGGGACAGTGCCTCTCACCTTTCCAATTATGTCCCCAGAACCTGGAACTTGGCCTGTAAACAGAACAACTGTAAACACCTTGAGGAGAAGGATCGTGTTGTATTTGTCTTTTTTATCCCTAGTGTCTGGTCCTGTGCACAGTTCAGAGTAGCAGCTCAATAACTGTCTTTGAGTAGAATTGAATTGTGGAAATAAAACTACCTAGAAGTTGGGAAAATCCTTTCTGGGCCTCTTTCAGGCTGTTCTAGGATTGGGTGGCCTTGGGCAATTGTCCTACCGAGTTTGTCCTTAACTTTATCATTCGTAAAATAAAACAGTTGTTTTCTGGCGTCTTAGAAAACCCTTCCATCTGGAAAATTTCGTGATGCTATTTTCCTCTGCTTGGAAATGTCCGATGAAGGTGTGAGGCAGGGACTTGAATTAATAAGATGACTGTATATATAAAAGAATGTTAATCAAGAGTGAATGGTTAAGAGAGGACCTTAGGGGTCACACCACATGCCATGAAATCTTCATTCTACAATTTACTAACTGGGGGACTGGAGGTGAGGTACTTAACTTCCCCACACCCCAGTTTCTGCATCCAGAACAAAGGCAAGCATTGAATGAGGTCACATAACTAAAATATTTAGCATGGTGCTGGGTATCTAATAAGAGCTCAACAAACGTTCATTGGCGTTATCACCAAAATTATTCAAAGAGGAATGATTTCCATTTAAACATATGTGAAAATAGCTTGTTGACATTTTCCATAAACTCACTGATGTTCCTTCTTATGTTTTAGGAGACAAACCCACAAAGGGAAACAAGGTAAGAAAAAGCATTGAAATGCATTTGTTACCCACCCTTTGTTTTAGAAGCACAGGAATATGGACAATGTGAAAGTTTAGGTGGCACTTGAAATATATATCCTAGAAGTTTGGTTGGGATTTGTCATGTCTACCTGTAAACCAAAAAATCACTAACCATTTAGCTCTGCTCAAAGAACCAGGACTTTAATTTCTGATTCTCTTTCCTTTTGCAGACTCCTTTACCACCTCCTCGGTAAGACACTGAAAATAGAACTTTGTTTTGCTATATACTTAAATGATTAGTTCTATAATTTGAGAAAGAGAAACACAAACATCTGATACTGAAAGCTAATGAGTTGGTCAATGAACAAGATTAAATAAGCCTCATTCATCCATTTAATCATTCATTCATTCACAGTCATCTATTCAATATACCTCCACTTATCGATCTTTAATGAATGCCTTGCTTCCCTGCTTCCTGTTTCTTTCCCTTTGTTTAGTACAGAAATCTCTCCTTCCTTTTAGTACAGAAATCTGCCAGAGAGTCCTGGCACTGGGAAATGCCTTCAAGGGACCTAGAGTACATAAGTATATAATCATATAAGTATATATATATTTATATATATAATACATATACAAATGCAAATATTATTATATTTATATATATGGAGGCAAAAGCAACAGACTTGATTTCTTAGGCTCTGAGTTAGTCACTCTGTTGTTCTGCTTGGGCCCGTGAGAACCTCCATCACAGCACTTACTTCCCTGGCTGGTCATCTTCTCACCACTTCTCTCTCTGCCCTCCCAGAGGGAAGCATCTTGAGCCAAGGACTGTGTCTTTTTCCTTTCTGCATCTCCAGCATCTACCAACAGTGCCCGATACACTTTGTGAATGAGTGAGGGCATGGGTGAATAAATGGGTGAGTGAGGCACCCATTGACTTTGGAACATTTTCCTATTTCTTTGGGGAGATTCAAAAGCTCATGTCTTCTAGTCTGGAGCAAAGGAAAGGCTGTAATCACATTTTTACTCCAGGCCTCCTAAAACTTCAACAGATGGCAGATTGATAAAGCTATGACACCCTATAGAAAAGTACATAACACTCTAAAAAATTGAACCAGACCAAAGGGCAAGTTGCAAGGAGAGAGATTTAAGCTGATTAGAAGAATGAGTATTCTGACATTCGAAGCTCCCTGTAGAGAGCTGCCACCCCCTGCCCCCAAAACTGATGTTTCCAGCCCAAAGCTGAGGGCACAGCGGGCAGGGCTGTGTGAATTCCAGGTCTGAGGAGCCATCTGTGCAGCGAACCTTCTCAGGTCCCCACTGTGACTCTTCACACAGGCCGCCCATCACTCTTCCAAAGAAGTACCAGCCCCTGCCCCCTGAGCCGGCGAGCAGCAAGCCACTCTTCCCTCAGAGGTGCACCTTTGCCGAAGTCCAGAGAGAGTCCAGGTAAGAGTCTTGCTGTTGCTGGTGGTGAGATGACCAGGGAACGGGTGGGCAGGGGGAAGAGAGCAACAATAACCAAACCAGTCGCCTCTCTAAATGGGCTGCCCAACGTGGTGGGGACAGCCATCCCATACCTTGAGGGAAAGCACCTCAGAAACCTGTAGTTTGACTCCTTAATGGAAAATACACCTTCTTTGTAATAAAATCAGTTACTGGAAGAATGGCTCACTTACGATGTGAATTAGTTATTAAAGAAAATGTTATCATTGCCGGAACTGAAAGGGGTTCAGACTGTATGAAGACCAATATCGGCACGCAGCTTCCCATCTCCCAGGCCGGAGAAGTATAACCGCGCACGTGAAAACCCATTTGTCAAAAACATGATTGCCTTTTTGACAAAGAAATATAAAAAATCCAACCCTCTGGTATTAAGTGCTGATGCCAGAGCCCCGCTCCCAAATGTATGGGGCACCGGGCAGCCGAGCAGCCAGCTCTGATCAAAAAATGTCACAAACACGAAAGGACCTCTTTTTCTTTTCCCCGAGAGAGTTTACATTTCCAAAATTACCTTATTTTAGAAGTCAAAACAGAGACTGGTGTTTCCCTCGTGTTGCTGCCCAGAGTGAGTGATGCTTTCTGACTGCGAGCTTGGATCAGCCGGTGAGGTGCAGGGCACTATTTCGTCCGTGAGCATTTCTCGTGCATACAGAAATTCAAAATATCAGGCACATTTGGCACTTCTGTGGAAAACCCTTTCATCACTGGTTCTGATGGCGGAACGTAAAAGAGCCGAAAATGCCATTTCCCCCTTAGTTTTTTTGGCAAATGCCTCTTCCCTTTCTGTCCTTTAGAAGCCCACACAAACGTACATCTTCCATGCAGAAACCTCTCCTGCTCTTCCTCGTGCAATTTCCTCTCTCCCCTGTCCCCATCTCGAAACGCAGGTTCTCCTTCTTATAAACTAGCAGAGGAAGGGCAGCGGGGGGGCGGGGGGGGGGGGGCGGAAATGTCTTTGCTCCCAGGGGAGTTCATAGTGTCTGGAGACATTTTGTCGTGACAGCTTGAGTGCTGGGGATGTATCTAGTGGGTAGAGGCCAGGAATGCCGCCAAACACCCTGCAGAGTGCTGAACTCCCCCAGAACAAAGAGTAATGAGACCCAAAAGGTCAGTGGGCCAGAGACTGGGAAACTCTGCCCCAAGGCATATGACTTGCTTCTCTAAGCCCAAGGCTTTTCTCAGCAGTAAAGTGAGGTTAAGAATAATGCCTACTGCCTACCTCCTGGGCTAATGTGAGAATTAAATAAGATGATTTCTATCAAGTGCTTATCAGTACCTGCCTAGCACATATTTATTACCAACATGTGTTACAGTTACTACCTTGAGCCATTTTCTATTGGTGCCTTTGCCACCGCATATAATATATTTGGAAAGAAGTCTGTCCCTTTGACCTCAAAAGGAGGGGCTAACTCACTGCAGTATGCATATGTCCTAGAACCCCGCGAGGCAGTTTCCAGAGGGTCTGAGCCAGACCAAGAGTCACCAGATTTCCTCTCTTTTGATTTCTGTTTTCAAAGAATGAGTGTCTTGGAAACAACAACAGTAATAGAACATCATCTGAATTGGAAATGTGAAATGCATTGTCCCTAAAATTCCTGACCAAGTCGTCTAATATGACAAGAACTGGCCCAAACTCAGAGAAGGAGATAGAAAATAAGATGGGGCTTCCCTGGTGGCGCAGTGGTTGAGAGTCCGCCTGCCGATGCAGGGGACACGGGTTCGTGCCCCTGTCCAGGAAGATCCCACATGTCGCAGAGCGGCTGGGCCCGTAAGCCATGGCCACTGAGCCTGTGCGTCCGGAGCCTGTGCTCCACAACGGGAGAGGCCACAACAGTGAGATACCCGCGTACTGCAAAAAAAAAAAAAAGAAAATAGGATGAATAAATATCAAAGATGATGAGGTTGTTCAGTGTGGAGAAGAGAGGATTTTTATTTTCTTTCTGTTTCTTTACATTGGAAAGAGTAGGATGTGGGAACCCAGCAGGACGGGGTTTGGATCCCTGCTGAGCCACTTCTGGCTGTAAAATTTCAGGAAGCTCTTAAACAGTTCTGAGTCCTGCTTTCCTTATTGGTAAAAAGAAAATAACCAGCCCCATGAGATAGAATTGTGGTAAGGAGGTATGTGATTTTTCTAAAGTACTAGGATAATATCTGTCACAGCATAGGAAAGAAGAAAGAAAAACACTTAAACAGCATCTCCCATCTGTACCCGACAGAATTAGGCACCCATAACCCTATTTTGTCTTGAAATAGAAGCTATAGATTCTAGGGCAATGTTTCTCATCCTGGCTTTACATTGAAATAATTAGGTAAACTTTTTAAAAATTACTGTTCTCCAGGATCTGTTTTAATTGAGAGCATCACTACAGGACATTAGTATTTTTCAAAGCTCCCCAGATGAATCTGATGTACACCCAGGGCTAGGCGCCCAGAGGGACCCAGATTCTAGGGATATTTCTGCCACTCAAGCTTCGAAGGTGCTTAGGCCTTACCTGCCTGTGTCCAAGCTTCTAATGTCTAAAATAATACTCTCCAGATTTCCAGATGAGCCCCTCTGCTGTCTGGATCACACCAGCCTACTGTCAGCCATGTCAGTGGTGTTGGAATCTTTAGACTTTCGTGTTTTGTAACTTTGCAGTGTCTCTAGTTGTAGTTTACAGTGTTTAATCATTCTTAGATGTGATGAGAGCTGTGCTGGGTCTCTTCACCAGAGGATAGTTACATTTCATCTCATTGAATCCTTTCTGCAGCCCAGTAAAGTATGATTTTCTAAGGCTTGGAAAGGCCAAAGTGCCCAGCCCAGTAGAAACATATAATAAGAACCTGGTAAAAATCACTTCCCTACCCACTGGGCACAAAATGTCATTAAGATTCAGAGAAGTTAGGTGACTCGGTCAAAGTTATAGGGTTGGTATATGACTGTTGAGAGGGCAAAAACATGCAAAGCCCAGTGCAAGACACTGAGAATGCCACGAAGACTAAGAGAGCTTTGCTTTATTCTATTTTATTTTATTGTTTAATTTTTATTGGCATATAATTTATTTACAATGTTGTGTTGGTTTCTGCTGTACAGCAAAGTGAATCAGTTATACATATACCTATATCAACTCTTTTTTTAGATTATTTTCCCATATAGATCATTACAGAGTATTGAGTAGAGTTCCCTATGCTATACAATAGGTCCTTATTAGTTATATATTTTATATACAGTAGTGTATATATGTCAATCCCAAGCTCCTAATTTATCTGTCTTCCCCCTTTCCCCCCTGGTAACCATAAGATTGTTTTCTACATCTGTGACTCTATTTTTGTTTTGTAAATAAGTTCATTTGCACCATGTTTTTTAGATTCCACATATAAGCAATATCATATGATATTTGTCTTTCTCTGTCTGACTTACTTCACTCAGTATGACCATCTCTAGACCCATCCACATTGCTTCCAATGGCATTAATTCGTTGTTTTTAATGGCTGAGTGATATTCCATTGTATATATGTACCACATCGTCTCTATCCATTCCTCTGTCAATCAACATTTAGGTTGCTTCCATGTCCTGGCTATTGTAAATAGTGCTGCAATGAACATTGGGGTGCATGTTTCTTTTCGAATTATGATTTTCTCTGGGAATATGCCCAGGAGTGGGATTGCTGGGTCATATGGTAGCTCTATTTTTAGTGTTTATAAGGAACCTCCTTACTGTTCTACATAGTAGCTGTACCAATTTACATTCCTACCAACAGTGTAGAAGGGTTCACTTTTCTCCACACCCTTTACAGCATTTATTGTTTGTACATATTTTCATGATGCCATTCTGACTGGTGTGAGGTGATACCTCATTGTAGTTTTGATTTGCATTTCTCTACTAATTAGAGATACTGAGCATCTTTTCATGTGCCTTTTGGCCATGTGTATGTCTTCTTTGGAGAAATGTCTGTTTAGATCTTCCACCCATTTTTTTGATTGGGTTGTTTGTTTTTTTTGTTATTGAACTGCATGAGTTGTTTGTATATGTTGGAGATTAATCCACCTGCTAGAGAAATGAAAATAGAAACAAAAATTTTAAAAATGCAATCTAATTAAACTTAAAAGCTTTTGCACAACAAAGGAAACCATAAACGAAACAAAAAGACAACCCACAGAATGGGAGAAAATATTTGCCAACAAAGAAACTGAGAGCTTTTTTTTAAGAGAGGTTTCAATTCATTTTTAGTTGGGCCCATCTAGGTAGTCAGATGGCCGTTACTAATGACCACATGTGAATGACCACGTGAGGCTGCTGTAAGGTTCACTTTCCATGAAAACAGAAAGAAGATTGAGATTCTGAGCTTCTTTGGCCAACGCAGGAAGAATAGTGCCCACTGCCTTCCTAACAGCTGCTCCCTAGGCCCCTGCGCTGAATCGCCCTCCCTGGGAGGCTGTGATTTACGTCCAGGGATCAACTGCATCAGTGAAGACAGCTGCAGCCTTACAATTGGCCGTGCTCACTGTGGGTGACAGTGGTGGTCCCCGCTATTGTGTTTCAGCCCCCATTGGTCTCTGCCAGCTCTGCCCTTCTCTATTTTATAGCTAAGTCTTGACTTCACAAAACAATTGCTGAATTGAAGCACCTCAGTTAAGGAAAACGCCATTTAGAACATTCATTCACAATCTGAAACTAGGAGAGAACGTTGACGTTTGGGGAATGTTGGTTAGACATTCTCAACCACTTATGGGTCATTATTATGATGTACTTTATATATTTTGTCAGCTTTTTTTTTTTTTTACTTAAATAGATGTATTTAAGAGGGAAACATATCATCACCATAAACAACCACAACATAATTTCAGAGCAAAACTTTCAGCCTGGGGGAGGTTTTCTCTGTTAAAAGGGAAGAAAAGTAAAGTTAGAGTGATGTTTAGGATATACTAACCGCCACATGGAAACTATCTCCTTGACATAATTAGAAAGAAGAAAAAAAACAGTTTCCAACTATGTATCCATTGTAATTTGAATACCATGGTCCATGCACCAAATAAAACTCACCCTGAGAAATCATGAGAGCAATCATCATTTGCTGTAGGTCTAGCTACACACGGCCCACTTTAGAGTCCTCAGCGCTGTGCAAAAAGCAATGCTACAAACCTTAATTTTCTGATGAGGACATAGAACTGCAGACTGGTCATCGAGCCATGAAATTTCCTTTAAACTTCAGCAAATTCAGTGGCCCAAGGTGGGGGATTCAGCCAAAATTTAAATAAAGTGTGTGATATTTTACCAACAAAACACTCACTTGCCTAACTATGGTTTTACCTTTTCAACTAGTAATGCTGACGCTGCATCAGTTCAAGCAAACTTAGTGGCAAAAATGCATATTCTGATGATTTGGGTGGTGGAAAAAATCATTATACATATCAAGAAACCATAAAAAGAGAGAAAGTATGGATTACAAAGAAGGTAGACAAATTCACACTCATGAATGGAAACTATTGATTTTAAAGTGTAAACTTTATTATCATCATAGTTTTGCGAGATGTTGCCTTTGTGGGAAACTGGGTTAAGGGCACATGGGATGTCTCTGTATTATTTCCTACCACTGCATGAGACCTACAATTAGGTCAGAACAAAAAGTTTAAGTTAAAAGAGGGTGTGACTGTTAAAAGTGTTCTGCAGATGTAAGGTGTTATTTTTTCCAAATAGCTTTCACATATATTATTTCATGAGAACCTTAATCAATCCTCTTTATTTCTGTTTGCATTTACCCATTTTACAGGTGGGAAAATGAAGCTTCAGAGAGGAAATTTCACTTATTGAGTGAGATGGCGCTCAGAGATGACAGAATCCAATTCATTTGAAACTAAGCCAAAAACTAAGAGAGGCTCAGGAAGGGCTATTTTTAGAGTGAAAGGCATTATCCTCAAATGCACACTGAGCACCTACTTTGCACAGGAAAGGATGTGGAAAACTTCTTCTATGTAATCAATGACCATGTTTTATTTACTGGCCATCTCCAGCAGCCGATCATGGGGAGACTTATGAGTGGGAAGGTGCTCTCAGAGAGGAAGGGTGGTGATGGGGAAGGAGGTCAGAGTCCACCCTGCTCCGCCATTCCGTCACTTTGTGCAGGTCTCCCTGTCTTCATAAATTTCATTGAAGAGACCCCCTAAAGCCCTCCGTTTTACATGTGAGGGGAGCAACCAGCTCGTGGGGGTCTTGTCACCACAGGCATTTCAAGGCCCAAGGACGGTTGTTGAGCACAGAATGGACTTCTTAAAATTACTTGGGTTCTCACTTAATAATCCAACTTTTTAAAGTTACGAATTCCAAAGGCTAACTTTCCTGAAGCCTCAAATTTCCATCTATAAAGTATATCGCTTGGTTCACAAGTGGAGTGCTTTTACCTAAACAGAGAGACAGTCACTCTGCTTGTTACATTACATAGGTTAAGACATAAGACATTTAGGAACTCAGTTAAATCTCCTTAAACATTTGAAATACCTTTATTCACTAAATGTAATTGATTTTTTAAGTACTTTAATGCTGACAGGGCAGGTTTAAACCCTAACAAGCAAAACTTTAGCATTTCATTTTTATAAATCTGATAAAGTTAATATATAAATATAGCAAAATTCAAGTTCTCTTAAACAGTTTGAATGGTTTGCAAATAGAGTTGAACATAGCTTGACTCTTATTAACTTAAAATCACAAGTCTAAAATCAATCACCCCTTTTAAATTGAAGCCACATGGCCAATCTATCAGTATTCCTAAGATGCCAGAGTTTCTTAAACATTAAAAACACTGAGATTAGCCTCAATTTAACCCCAAAAGAATTAATATTATGAGTGTCTGTTCTACTTTATTACTTCTAATTGTTCCTCTTTATCTTCCACTTGCCCCGTTAAAAGGAGGAGGCAGGGTGAAGATGTGTTATCTCAGATGGACTGATGAAACAGGTTAAAGAATGTGGGACCTCAGTACACTTGCTTCTGGCTTGGAGATCTGAGACCAGGGTATAGCATCTGAGTGCTGTGTGCTGCTGGGATCATCTTACCTGTTACAGACAGACCTTTATAACTCTAGATCAACAGCCTTCAGCTAGGATTGTTGTTGCAGCCTTAATCTCCTGGCATCTCTTCAGTTCCAGTCTTTTCACAGACAGACCTAGGTGGACAGATGTGCACGTCACCCACCCAACTCCCTTCATAACCTCCTCATCTGGCTTTGCCCACATTCTGACAATAGTGCCCACTAGATGCCCAACATTTTCCTTTCTATCTCTAGCAATCGTCACAATAACCCTCTAAGATGAATATCCCTGTGCCACTTTGTAGATGAGAAAAATGAGGTTTAGTGAGGCTAATTGACTCAATTGTCAATATAAATGAAGGGCTTGGAGTTTCTTCTGAGACCCCTCCAATGGTCTGATGTCCACTTTATCAAATGCCATGTTGAATTCTTTCCCTATCATGCAGTTTCGTGTTTTTCCTGTCTCAGATCTCCTTTAATTATCAGCATCCTTTCTCTCATGCATGCCTTCCTGGGGTCCAGCTGTACCTCAACTTCACATTTAAAACCTTTTATACTCCCTCAAAGCAAAAAATGAAGAGCTTTCAAATGAAGGTAATAATAGCAGGTCCTTCTGTGCTAATGAAACTTGACATAGAAAACCAAATGTCAGGAGAAATGATGATGTTATTTAAATTCTCTTAAAGTGAGAAGCAAGTTTATTCATGTCCTTTCTGTCACCACCTTTTATATTGGCTCATAACTTCTCCTTTTGCTTAGAAAATTATGAGAAAAATAAACAGGGTTTAATTTTATAGAACAGTGATAAATATCACACTGGACTATGGGCTATTAATTTGGCAATGAAAATGTAATCAAAGAGTTTTTAAGGACTCAGAATGATTTTATCTTGATCATTATGAACTATATTTTATGTAACACCATACTTCTTTTCCTTGCAGACAGATAAGCTTAAAGAACTTAAGTGAGGTAAGTAGCAATTGTGTCCTAAGAAACAAAGAAGGGAATTTTTGTGCAAAGTGTCTGTGATTGGCAAGATACTTAATTATCATAATAGAAATGCTCAATATGTATTAATATCCCTATTTTAAAGGTGATAAAACTAAAGCAAAACAAAGTAAGCTCAAGATTTTAAATCAAATTCCATTTTGCCACCATATTCTGTGTTTATTGGTACAGTGATGAGAAGACCATGTCCATGATCCATGGAGGACATCAGGTTTCTACCAAGGGCTTCCAGCCTCTAGCATTTCAGAAATAAATGTTGGAAATTGTGTAATACTTTGCTATTTGTTCTTCACAAGAGAGAGAGGACTGCAGAGTAGAAGGAATATGAGATACAGAGTTACACAGACCTGAGTTAGATTCCCGCTCTGCCACCAACTACTTTGTGAACTTGGGCAAATCCTCCTGCCCCCACCCAACCACCCCGTTCTGTTCTGTTTTCCCAATAAAAAAATAGAGGTGGATATCCTCAACTTGGCAAAGCTGTTGTGACAAAGTCAGTCAGTCAGAGTCAGCACGTAAATGACCAGGCGAGCAGTAGAGGCCCAGTAAATGGCCTGAAGATCAGGTAAGATGGAACTATCTTAGAGCCCTCTTAGATGTTTACTTTCTTAAGCCCCCAGAGAAGTTCCTTAAGCAGATGGTAGGTCCTCACTTCACTCCCACTGGCCTCCTAAGGGATTTGGTTCTTATCTTAGTATTTGACCTTTGCTCTTACATCATCTAGAACGTAAAGGTTGATCCCTTTCTTTCTCTCCTTCTTTCTTTTGATGTTGAAAACTCAGACTCTGTGTACCAGTGCCAAATTGAATCTCGGAGACAGTGTTTTGGGTAAAGTAGAAAAGAATAGCTTTATTGCTTTGCCAGGCAAAGGGGGACACAGTGGGCTCCTGCCCTTGAAAACTGTGTGTCCCAACGCCGGAGGATTTGGTGAGGAGTTTTTATAGCAATAGTTCAAGGGCAGGGTTGCTGATAAGGATCAGGGTGTGGGCAGGGCCTGCATTTCTTTAACCGGGCCTCAGGTGGTCTCCTGATATGTTTCTGTGGTTTTCAAGGTTATCAAACTGTGACCTTCTCTCTGGAATGAAGAATGCTCCTTCAAGTAGTTAACATCTTCCAGTTGTTGGCGATTTTAGCTCTGCAGAAGAGCTCAAAGATATTGTTATGTGTATCCCTTGAAGGGGAACCAGGACCCTGCCCCAAGGCTGCACTATTGTTTCTTGACTGCTCCTCCCTTGTCTCGGTATCTCCTCCCTTCCCTGATTAGCAATTGTTTGAATCTGCCCTTTGGGACTCAGAGAAGGTCGTGGAGTCTGGAGTCTGTTCCCTATGAACAAGGAACAGGGAACACAGAAAGGCTTCTGTGCCCAGGAGCCCCACAGGATCCTGCTCAGTTTTATTTTCTCCCTTTTTTCTTCCTTCCTTTCTTCCTCTCTTTCTTTCTTTCTTTCTCTTTCTCTCTTCCTTCCTTTCTTCTTTCCTTCCTTCCTCCCTTCCTCCCTCCCTCCCACTTTCTTTTTCTTTCTTTCTTTCTTTCTTTCTTTCTTTCTTTCTTTTTTTCTTTCTTTCTCTCTTCCTTCCTTCCTTTCTTCTTTCTTTCTTTCTTTCTTTCTTTCTTTCTTTCTTTCTCTCTCTCTCTCTCTCTCTCTGTCTCTCTCTCTCTCTTTCTGGTGTTATGCCAATGTTAAAATTAAGAGTCACATTTCTAGCTTGTCTGTCAAACAAGATATTTATGACCTCTAATCCACAAGACAATCGTGTGAAGGAGAAAAACACGTGACTGCTAAATGAGAGGCGCTGTTCAAGACTTCACTCAGCTTACCCTCTTCTGGGAGTTGCTGGACTTCCCAAGTGCCACCAGGAAGGAGAAAGTTGGGGTGGTTCTCTGCTGCTGGGGAACCCACACATCTAGAAGAACTCCACCTCTTTCTTCCTATGGGTTGGTTTATGTGTCCCGAGTAGGCAGCTACTCAAGATGACTTATATCCATAACTCACCAGTCAGTCTAAAAGGACAATAGCCCCACCAATCACAAACAAGCAAGAAGGAAATGGAGAGGTCAGTCTTAAACAGCAGGGACCATGCAGGACTCTTTGTTTTTCTTGCAACTTTGGTTGGCCTTCTGCTAGAAGTTGATATTATCTAAAGAACAACAAGGCCTAGTGGAAAAACACGTTCTTCCTCCTTATCTTTTGCCAAGACACTTCCTCTTTGTTTGTTTGTGCTGAGAGTCAAGGCCATTTCTCTATTCCAAAAGCCCATCTCATAGGGCACATGCCATGCTTGTGTGAGTGTTAAGTGCTTGCTCAAATTATATCTTGGGGACCAGAATTCATTCCAGCAGAAATGATGTGCCATCTGCCCCAATTCAAATTCACATAGCACTTTATAGTTTTCAAAAAGTAGAAATTTATTGTCTCCTTTAATTCTTAAAGAAAGAAAGAAAAAAAACCCTAAGAGAAAAAGAAGCTTCAGAGAGGTGACAAGAATTGCCAGGGTTCCCACAGCTGGCAGATGGAGCCACCCTAGAAAGCCCAGAGTCCCGATCTAAGCCCCATGCCCATGACTTTGCCCTAGAGAATACAGAGGCACCCCTGAGGTGAAATAGTGGGGAAAAAAGGAAGTAAGGAAGGGAGGAAAGGATGAGAGGGAGGGAAGGTGAGAAATAATAAAGAAGGCATTACTATTTAACTTGAATATGCTAATTTTCTAACCAAAAAAAAGTTAAAGTAGGGAAACTAGAGAGATTTCACTCCATTTTTCTAATTGCATTTGATTTTAAATTCAGAGCCCTCAAGCAAAATATTGGCTGGGTCTCAATTCAATAAAAAAAAAAATTGCTCCCCCAGACAGATGGCTTCCAGGCTATTTTTACAGCAAGGCTTTCTCCCCTCCTTTGACAAGCCTGAGAACCACAGCCGCAAATGATTGAGCACTTTGAACTGCCAGGTTCAAAGTCCTGAGGAAGACTCAGTGGGGAAGCTTTCAAACCACCCATAAAAATGGATTCATTCATTACCCTTTTTACATAGCCTATAGTTTTGCCTTTATTTGCTGTCCATGATGAAATGTATGTCCTCTTTCCAGAAAACTAGAGGATGCCAAGCTCTTTGAAACAAAAGGGCTTGTCTGGGCTTCCTTGGTGGCGCAGTGGTTGAGAATCCACCTGCCGATGCAGGGGACGCGGGTTCGTGCCCCGGTCCGGGAAGATCCCACATGCCGCGGAGTGGCTGGGCCCGTGAGCCATGGCCGTTGAGCCTGTGCGTCGGGAGCCTGTGCTCTGCAACGGGAGAGGCCACAGCAGTGAGAGGCCCGCGTACCACAAAAAAAAAAAAAAAAAAGGGCTTGTCTGTTGGTTAGCCTTAGAAAAGATGTACAATGCCTCTCTAAGCTATTTATTGATAAGTGATTCTTGTCTATGAAGCCAATGTGAGTCAGGAGACCTGGGCTCCAGGGTCAGCTCAGCCACAAGATAACTCTGAGAATCTGAGCAAATGGCACCACCTCTTCGGACCTCATCAGCAAACCACTGACTTTAACTTTTCATGGACCTCAGACCCCTTTGAAATTTTGATGAAAGGTATAATAAAACTTCCTCACCCCAGAAAAAAAAAAATGCACATATTTATAGAGGAAAAAAATTTAGCTTTTCATGTCAGAAGGTTCATGGACCCCACGAGGCCATCCAAGGACCTCTTACATCCCCCAAGTTAAGAAGATTTAGTCCAAATGATACCTGTGGACCTTCTCAGCTGATGCAATGCATGAAATGGACTTTAGAAAATTATTTGCAGTTAAGTAAATACTTCAGCAAATACTATACTTCTTGCGGCATTTTGATTCTTCAAGAATATAATAGGACTCAAGAATACAAGTCCCATAAGCACATAGACTTTCATAATGAAGAATGATCAAGAATTCTACTACTATTAAGGAAAAAAAGAGAATGAAAATGTTTGAGAAGAGAAATGGCTACATTTAACAAGAATACTGTGAATATTTTCATGCTAATTTTTAAAAATAAAAATTCCAAAACAGGTATAAAGAAAATTAACTATGGCTTTCATCACTTAAACACAACCTCTATTAATATAATATTTTATCATATCTCTTCAAATCCTTTTTTCTACAAAATATGTCATAAGCCCAGTTTTTAATCCTGAACAATTTTATGTAACTTTGAGATATACTTACGGAGTAATCTTATTCCATACTCTACGTAAATACTTGCAATGCATTTCTAACATTCCAATAGTGAGTATAGCACCAAAAATTACTTAATAGTTCTCACTTAGAGGCTTATGTAGATTGTTTCCAGTGTTTCAATATTATAAGTAATGATGTACTGCACATCTTTGTACATGGAACTTGATCCAGATTTCAGGTTGTTGTCTAAGAAAAAGAAACTCATCAATGGAATTTTGGGGATAAGAATAAGAGTATTTCTAAGGCTCTTAATAGCTATGGTTAAATTGGTTTCCAAGAGTCAAAGCAATTTATAGTCCCATCAGCAGACTGTATATTTGCCTGTTACATCACACAAAGAGTATAAAATTTTTATTTTTGCTTAGTCTTTTGGAGGATTATTCGTAGATTTTTAAAAATCTATCCTAAAAAAACTAACCAACTGCTCTAAAAACATACATAGTATAATGTAAAATTCTCTGTCACTAAGAGTAACTCAATGTTTTGTTTTTTTTTAATTCAATACAGGTTCTTGGAACAGAGGAAGGTGAACTATTTATATTTGTTTTCTTATCCTAATATCATTAGGTTAAGTCCTATTTCCAGGTTAATAGCATTAGTCATTTTTTTAAACGATTACTTGTTTCAGGGCCTGGGCTGTATGGACACGTACGTGGGTGCATGATGACGTGATCCAGATGGTTCCAGGACCTCAGAGTCTATTCAGGAGTCCTGTGGTCTGAACAGGGTGATTTAAATTGGGGGTGGGGTAGAGGTCTTTCTTCAGCTACAGGCTACTGACAAGGAGGCACACTGTCACCCCCTGCCACTTGGGAAAGACATTGCTGGCCTGCTGCTCCAGAGAAGCTCTTGGTCTCTCCATCTTTGATGTCACCCGTGCATACACACATAAGCCCTCATGCATGCACGCATGCACACTGCGGATGTCACTGTTGTGGAAGCATGCAATCCAACACTTGCTAGATGGCAGGATGCTAATCTGGTGATACCTTCATGCCCACATTTGGGATACTGTTCACCATTCACTTAGAATGATGAGTTATGTCCAGAGCCAAAGGACCTGAGCTATGGCCCAAAGAGTTAACACAGGCAGCCTAGTTTGACAAAGCAACATTGGGCTAAGATTTCAGAGGCTCACCACCAGCTCACTGTGTGTTTTGACCAAGTTGCACTGACTCTGTGAGTCTCAAGTCTGCTTTTTTTACATTGAGAAAGTTAGACTGGAGTGGGACCTAACCTGGGTTTGTGGATTCCCAAGGGTTTCTGATGGAGGAGTGAGGGTCTGTTGGCAATTCTAAATAATTTTAAAATCTAAAGGAAACTGTACCCTTTTCCACAATAAAGCTCAGCATCCTACTGAAATGTTGAGGAGTTGTTGCCTCAGGCTTCAGTGATTATAAACCCAGCAACGTGACACTGATCAGCTCACAGAGGTGGCTGTTGATGACCTGAAATGATTTTATAGGATGTATGACTAGTGGACCAGTCACTGACTCCAATCACTTTTCAAGTAATGACAGCCCTTCTGTCAAAGGTGTTGAGTTTGTGATCAACCTTGGACACAGCACAGAGTAACAGCCAAAATTAAGACATGTCAGTGTTTATGCTTCCTTAACTTTACTACTTACCACTGCAACTGGAAGAGTGTTTTATGGGATTCCCTATCATAGTATTATTATGTGTCCTTGGTAATTCTGGATGGCTAGTTAAAATCTATCCAGGATGAAAAGGAAATAAAAAGTGGTAACACCAATGACATATGTAATTACTGAATAAGTCCAGTTCCTGTGGTTGTCAAAACTTTTCAAAACTTGAAGATCAAAGGGGAACAACTGAGAAAACTCATGTCTGGTGGGAACCAGGTGGAAACCGCTGGTCTATAATAGAATCCTGGGAGCTCTCCTGCCCTATCACCGCAGAGATAGGAGAATTCAGGTGTGCCTGGGCCAGCATCAGGCATCCCCCTACCCTACATTGCTCAGAATAGTTCTTAAGCTTAACATTTTTGTTTATGTTTCTATGTAAGTTTTCATTTGAATGGAGAATTCAACCTCAGTCCACTTCCACTTCAAGCCCCTCCAATACCAAATACCTTCCAATGAAATATTCTATATATTGGCAAGTTCAAGGATGAGTTCCAAATTTAATATTTTTTATAATATTATTGAATATTCAACATTCAAAGCAACTTTTATAGACTCAGGGAGAAGCCAGTCCCAGGAGCCACAGTTACTGCAGAACACGTGGGTTACAGTTTCCACTAACCATGAACAGCTTACTCTTAATAATCAGAGATTAATTGGATGAAATTATAGCAGTTCCGCTAGACTTCTAATGGTCCCCTATCATTTTCCTTTTGCAACCTGCCCAAATTCTGGGACGCCTTTACACAGTTCCTCATCATCAGATGAAGCCTGAATTATCTCACCTGTCACAAAACCAAAGGCCTCAAGAGATTTCTCTTGCCATTACCAGGTAAGGAGCCAGGAATCCCTTGCTGGGTCCCGGCTTGGGGGTCAGGTTATGTGTTGTCTGGGATGATGACTCACAGAGGCTTCCTGAGAAAGAGAAGCTCTGGCCTTTCATAATGAGGCCCAGTGTTGAGGCCCCAGGGAAACTTGTGAATCATTGTTGTTGTTGAAGTTAATAACATTGTTCTTCCTGCACTTTATAAGCGATTGATTGCACGTTAGAGACGATATTTGAAAACATGGATATTAAGTAGGGAGGATTAACTGGAATGGAGGCTAGTCAACCCTGGAAGAAAAGTTGGCTTTTCTAACTAGTCTCAGTGGATGACACACAGAAGCTGATGATTACTTTGGAGAAGCACTTTATAAATGGCCAGGGGTTGAAAATGCCATTATCTGATTAAATACTTGCCTGATCAGGTTATTGTGACAAATGTCATCCCAACAGAAGAGTCAAGGAGACTAGTAAGGCTCAGGCTGGTGATTCATTGGCCAAGGTCACGTACATTAGTGATAGCTTCCTTAACATACAGTCTCCAAAATTAGTGCTATCAGACCCTCCTGAACCCAGTCTGACCAGTGGCTCCAGCTCAGTTCACGTCATTCTCCACCGCCTCCCAACACAGGACATTTGCATGTGCTATTCCTCTGCCTATAACAGCACACCCCCATATTTCCCTCTCTCCACCCTCTCCCTACTTGGAAAACTCCTCTTTATCCATCAGACCACAGCTTAAAGCCACCCTGAATACAAGAGGTAGTTCTGACCCATTCCCCAAAGGGAATAAATGAGGCCCAGAGAGACTGAGTCTCTTGCCATTGAAATCAAGTCCAACTCCACTCTTCAGTAGCCCATGATGCCTACACTGACTTGATTTTAAAAATGCAGCCCATAAATCTTGACTTTCCTTAGTGCCTGCCCACAGTTAAGGTGCTCTTTTATTATTTAATAATACGCTGTTTGTGATGGAATAGAGTATTGCTTAAGAGGGAGCCCCTGGAATCATACTGCCTGGCTTCCTCACTTACAAACCGCGTGGCCTTGGGCAATGTCACTCACCTTCCATGTGAAGCTGAGAGCAGGGCCAGACCTGTTCAACCTGCCCATGTGCCCGCTAACCACCAGCTCTCAATGCCATTGCCAGGCCCTGTATGTCAGGGGCATGGTCTCCATCCCCCACTCCCTTCGTCTCCCTCACTTTCTTGTCCTATTTCACACCTTCAGCAACTTTGTTCTCAGTCTTTGATCTGTGGACATTAGGACTGCAGTTTCATAACTCTTATTAGGCTGTTTTCAGTTTAAGACCCAATCTGACACAAAACTCTTGCCCATACAATAAGTACATACTCTTTCTTAATGTAATTTTCTGAAAGGAAACAAAAAAACATCATATTATAGTGAAAAGATCATGAGATTTTAGTTGGGCCCACATCTGTAGTAGTTGTTATTCAGTGTGGTTTGGCTTCTTTTGTTTGTTTGTTTGTTTAATTGAACAAAGTCTCCTGATTTTTCTTCCTCTCTTAACTGGCTGCTTCTTCTAAGTCTCCCTTTTAGGCTTTTTCCAAAACTGAACTCTGAATGTTGGTATTCCTCAGATCCTTCTGACGTCCTTTTTTCTATCAGTAAGAGTGTAGGCAGTTCATCCATCCCTACAGTGTCAAGGGTCAACTCTATGTTGATAATTACTAAATCTCTATCCTCTGCCCCAACCACCCTTCCTAGCCCCAGACCCATATATCCAGCTACCCAATGGGCAGTTTTCCTTAAATCAGTGACAGGTATCTCAAACTCAGTGTTGGAAACTGAACTCTTCATTTCTACTTTCATTTCTGGACCAACGCTCTCCTCCTACAAACTTTCTCACCTCAGTAAATGGTATACTGTCTTTCCCATGTTCACTCTTCCCATCCAAATCATTAAAAACTCCCAAAATTCTCAAATCTCAACTCAAAATGGGTCTTGAGTCTATCCATTTCTACCCATTTCCCCAGCTCCCAACATAAACCAGCCACCATCAACTCTTGCTTAAACAGTAGCCTTCTAATGAAACAGTAGCCTTCTAATGATACATCTTCATACCCTACCTTCCATCCATAAGGAACTACTTTCTGGTCTCTTGAAGAATAAGCCATGTTTTCTTGCCTCTGAGCCTTTGCACCTGCTGTTCCCTCTGCCTGGAACACACCGTTACTCCTCACCAATCTCCTATTCACCTTTCAGAAGTCAGCTCAGTTAGCATATGTCCCAGGAAGACTTTCCTGAGAATCAAATCTATTTTGTCTGGATTGTGACCTTCTTCTGCTACCACAGGATCTTCTGCTGTGCTCACCTCAATTGTGGTGTTTACCCCAAATTGTGATTATGGTATAATCATGTCTTCCCTCCATAAATTAAGCTGCTTTAGGATAGAGGCCATGTCTTATTCATTTGATATCCCCCAAAACATATCACGTACTTGGTAAATGCTCAATAAATGTTTATAAAATGAAAGAATTATTTCTATTTCAGTTTAGGTAGTTTTTTTTTTACTTATATTTTTATAAACTTTGTACACAAAACCTAGAATATCCTCAGAGGATATCCCTATTCTCTCAATATTTTCTAAAACTCCTGAAAAATTAGGGCAGTGAAATTTTGCTATCTCTGATTTTTTTCCAGATATTTAAAAAATTGTACACTGGCTCCTAGTAAAGGGATCCTGATTTTAACAGAATCGAAGGCTTAGATAGCAGGAGAAGTCTAACCAGTGATGATAGCACAGTGTGGTGTTTCAATGATCTAATGGCATTTTTATCTACCAAGCAAATCATAAGACCCCAGGCTTCTGTGGAAATAACAAAAACCAGATATGTACTCAGTTGATTTCATTGGTGCTGGAAAAGGGCTAGATTTCATTGAATTAACCCAGAGGCTTTGTTCAATTGTACAGTCGTGGCATAGAGCATGCTCCATGTAATTAGATTTAACTGTAGGAGCAACTAAAGTTTAAAATGACAATGCCAACAACAATACAAAATGAACCAGAAAATCAGAGCTGCATGTTACACAAAGCCAAACATTAAGTAAAGCGCCAAGTAAAGCCATTGGTAAGCAGTCTTTTTTTTTAATAAATCTATTTATTTATTTATCTTATTTTTGGCTATGTTCGGTCTTCATTGCTGCACGTGGGCTTTCTCTGGTTGCGGTGAGCAGGGGCTACTCTTCTCTGTGGTATGCGGGCTTCTCATTGCAGTGGCTTCTCTGTGCTGCAGAGCATGGGCTGTAGGCACATGGGCTTCAGTTGTGGCACCCAGGCTCAATAGTTATGACGCATGGGCTCAGCTGCTCCGCGGCATGTGGGATCTTCCCCGACCAGGGCTCAATCCCATGTCCCCTGCATTGGCAGGTGGATTCCTAACCACTGCACCACCAGGGACGTCCTAGTAAACAGTCTTTGTGTGTTTAGAAATGCATATCATTTTATTGCCTTTTATTATGCATATCATTTTATTGCCTTTTATTATGTTTTTATAATCCCTTTTTCTTTATCAATTTCCTTGTAATAATACACAATTTTCTTACCTAGCTCACATTAAGAAGGAATAAAATAATTTCTATTCTTTTCTTCTTTGCTATGGCTGACTCTCCTTCAATTGGTAAACAACTACTATAGAGTAGGAGCCCCATCCAGCCACATAGCATTTTCTATAGTGACTGTAGCTACAACGCAAGTCTAAATTCATAGCTTCCAAAAGTAAAGAATTTTGATGTGTGCTCACTGAAGTGACATGGAAGGAACTTATGTGGTTAAGTCGCTTTGTTCCATATCTAATGTTCATCTGTATTGAGAAAGGAAGGAACCAGCATTTTATCAACCTTACAAAACAGACAATTTTTCGTCCAGTAAAATATAAAGTGCTCTGTAAATATGACAGGCCATGAGTACTGACCCAGCGTGGGAAATACTAACGTTCTTTCAATTGTAACATTTCCTTTAGCTCTTCATTCGTGACTCACAACCAGAGTGTACAAAACAGAGGTAAGAACACTTTATGAAATAATTACAGAAATAAGTAGGTTAAGTCATACACTGCTATATTCCTGCATCGTGACTTAGCTTTTGTGAATCTCAGAGTCTCTGAGCTGATGCATGTAGATATAATTCGCTTGTTTTCATTGATAGGCAGCATTGCATCGCATTAATATAATGTTTATCCATAGTTAAATACCATCACTTAGGTGTTTCCAGTTTTTTCCTCTTATGAATGTTAGTTTGTTGTGAACAATATCGTTGATGTCTTCCCCTGTGTATAATATGTACATGTTTTCCCAAATACTTAATATGATAAGTTCTTTTTCTAAGAGTGAAATGGCCATGTCTTAGAATATTCCTCTCTTCAGTGGCACTAGATGTATTTTCCAAAGTAGATGTATCACTTTGTTTCACCAAAAGCGTGTGAGACCCCATCGTTCCCCATCGTTTCCAACAGTTGTTTTTTGGCAAACTTTTAGTTTTTGTCAATCCATTCGGTGTAAAATAACTTTATCTTAAGAAGAGTCTGTGAAATGGAGAAAATAAAACTGACCTCTCTTACTAATTGATTGTAAAGATAAAAATCAGAAGCATACCATGTCCATGGAGATATCAAAAGCAGCATATAAATATAGTGTTATATTACTGTTGATGATGGGTTTTGATATTGTTAGTATTATTTGACCCAAACTAGATCTGTCATGTTCTTTTTTCTTTCTTTCTTCAATCCTATGCCATGGATATTCTGTGTTCAGGTCTAATCTTTTGATCTCTTTCTTCTGAGCCACAAGAGAGGGCTTTAGGGCTGGAGAAAATGAACTCCATGGGATACAGTGGGAAGACCGAGGGCTCTACTGACCTTGGTCCCAGTTCTGCCTCTCTGAGCTTCACCCTCCTCCATCCATAAAATTCAAATAATCATATTAACTCTCAGAGTTAATACACACACACACACACACACACACACACACACACACACACACACCCCACACACAGAGCCCTCACTTTGCACATAGTAGGCAACTGACACATTTTAATATCCTTCCTTCTTTTTTGCATTCCCTTTCCTTCTCCAGGGATTCTCCACCTAACTGATCCTGTGAGACCAAGAGTTTCCTCCCTGGCCTCCATCATGTCTTTATTTCTCTTCTACCCTATGCCATCTGGGCCTTAGGTTGCAAAACCAATATGGAAAACTAATTTGGCCCATGTACACATTTCTAATAAGAGTTTCCCAAGAAAGAACTCTTTTTCTAAAGTGCAATGAACAAAGGGGGCTGTGATTAACCCAATGGCTCAATCCCTGGAAATTAAATGATAGGAACAGTAGTCCTAGAGGGCCATATCTTGGTGTATGAAAATGAAAAGACTTGGAGTATCCAGGTGGAAGGTTCAAGGCCTGAATGGGCCCAGAAAGGGCTTTACTGATGGGGGTTTTGAGAATGGAAATGTTGCAGAGATAGAGAAGCAGAATCATAGATCAAAGAGGAATCCAGAGTCTTAACCTGAAAGACAAAATCTTGCACAAATAGAGAGTTGGGACCTTCAAGTTGGTGGAGGACTAAGACGTGGAGATCACCTTCCTCCCCATAAATACATCAGAAATACATCTACACGTGGAACAACTCCTACAGAACACCTACTGAACACCGGCAGAAGACCTCAGACTTCCCAAAAGGCAAGAAAATCCCCACGTACCTGGGTAGGACAAAAGAAAAAAGAAAAAACAGAGACAAAAGAATAGGGATGGGACCTGCACCTCTGGGAGGGAACTGTAAAGGAGGAAAAGCTTCCACACACGAGGAAGCCCCTTCACTGGCGGAGACTGGGGATGGACAGGGGGGAAGATTCGGAGCCATGGAGGAGAGCACAGCAACAGGGGTGCAGAGGGCAAAGCGGAGAGATTCCTGCACAGAGGATCAGTGCCGACCAGCACTCACCAGCCTGAGGCTTGTCTGCTCACCCGCTGGGACGGGTGGGGGCTGGGAGCTGATGCTCCAGCTTCAGAAGTCAGACCCCAAGGAGAGGACTGGGGTTGGCTGCGTGAACACAGCCTGAAGGGGGCAAGTGCACCACAGCTAGCTGGGAGGGAGTGTGGAAAAAGCTCTGGACCTACCTAAGAGGCAAGAGACCATTGTTTTGGGGTGTGCAAGGAGAGGGGATTCCTTCCCTGTCTGTCCACAGAAGGCAGAGCACTGCCTAAATTAGCTCCAGAGATGGGCGCAAGCCATAGCTATCAACTCAGACACCAGAGACAGGCATGAAACCCTAATGCTGCTACTTCAACCCCCAAAAATCCTGTGTGCAAGCATAGGTCACTATCCACATGTGCCACCTGTCCCACCGACCCCAGGAGCCTAGCAGCCTGCCACTGCCAGGGTCCCGTGATCCAGGGACAACTTCCCCAGGAAAACACATGGCACTCCTCAGGCTTTTGCAACGTCACACTGGTCTCTGCCACCTCAGGCTCAACCTGCATTCCAATTATAACTACAGTACCCCACCCTCCCCATGGCATGAGTGAGCCAGAGACCCCTAATCAGCCGCTGCTTTAAACCCATCCTGTCTGGGTGGGAACAGAAGCCTGAGGGTGACCTACACGCAGAGGTGGGGCCCAAACTAAAGGTGAACCCCAGGAGCTGTGCGAGCAAAGAAGAGAAAGGGAAATTTCTCAATGCAGCCTCAGGAACAGTGGATTAAATCCCCACAACCAATTTGAGGTACCCTGCATCTGTGGAATACCTGAATAGACAATGAATGTTCCCAAAATTGAGGCGGTATATTCTGGGCACAACTGTAGACTTGGGGTTTGCTGTCTGCGACTGACTTGTTTCTGATCTCTATGTTTATCTTAGTATAGTTTTTAGTGCTTGTTATCATTGGTGGATTTCTTTATTGGTTTGGTTGCTCTTTTCTTTTTTTTATTACTTTTTAATTTTAATTATTTTTTTATTTTTTATTTTAATTCTTTTTTTTTTTTTTTTACTTATTTATTTTTCTTTCTTTTTTTCCCCCCTTTTCTTCTGAACCGTGTGGCTGACAGGGTCTTGGTGCTCCAGCCTGGTGTCAGGCCTGAGCCTCTGAGGCGGGAGAGCCCAGTTCAGGACATTGGATCACCAGAGACCTCCCAGCCCCATGTAATATCAAATGGCAAAAGCTCTCCCAGAGATCTCAGTCTCATTACTAAGACCCAGCTCCACCCAACGGCCAGCAAACTCCAGTGCTGGGTGCCCCATGCCAAACAATTACCAGAACAGGAACACAACCCCACCCATTAGCAGAGAGGCTGTCTAAAAGCATACTAAGTTCACAGTCACCCGAAAACACACTATCGTACACAGCACTGCCCCCCAGAAAAAAAAACATGCAGCCCCACCCACCTGAACACAGGCACCAGTCCCCTCCATCAGAAAGCCTACACAAGCCACTGAACCAACCTTACCCACTGGGGGCAGACACCAAAAACAATGGGAACTAAGAACCTGCAGCCTGTGAAAAGGAGACTCCAAACACAATAAGTTAAGCATAATGGGAAGACAGAGAAATATGCAGCAGATGAAGGAGCACGGTAAGAACAAATCAGACCAAACAAATGAAGAGGAAATAGGTAATGTACCTGAAAAAGAATTCAGAGTAATGATAGTAAGGATGATCCAAAATCTTAGAAATAGAATGGAGAAAATACAAGAAACGTTTACCAAGGACCTAGAAGAACTAAAGAGCAGACAAAAAATGATGAACAACACAATAAATGAACTTAAAAATTCTCTAGAAGGAATCAATAGCAGAATAACTGAGGCAAAAGAACGGGTAAGTGACCTGGAAGATAAAATAGTGGAAATAGCTACCACAGAGCAGAATAAAGAAAAATGAATGAAAAGAATGGAGGACATTCTCAGAGACCTCTGGGACAACATTAAACACAACAACATTTGAATTATAGGGGTCCAAGAAGAAGAAGAGAAAAAGAAAGGGTCTGAGAAAATATTTGAAGAGATTATAGTTGAAAACTTCCCTAACATGGGAAAGGATATAGTCAATCAAGTCCAGAAAGCACAGAAAGTCCCATACAGGATAAATCCAAGGAGAAACACACCAAGACACATATTAATCAAACTAAGAAAATTAAATACAAAGAAAAAAATTAAAAGCAGCAAGGGAAAAGCAACAAATAACATACAAGGGAATTCCCATAAGGTTAAGAGCTGATCTTTCAGCAGAAACTCTGCAAGCCAGAAGGGAGTGGCAGGACATATTTAAAGTGATGAAAGGGAAAAACCTACAACCAAGATTACTCTACCCAGCAAGGATCTCATTCAGATGCGATGGAGAAATTAAACCCTTTACAGACAAGCAAAAGTTAAGAGAATTCAGCAGCACCACACCAGCTTTACAACAAATGCTAAAGGAACTTCTCTAGGTGGGAAACAGAGAAAGAAAAGACCTACAATAACAAACACAACAGAATTAAGAAAATGGTAATAGGAACATACATATCAATAATTACCTTAGACGTAAATGGATTAAGTGCTCCAACCAAGAGACAGACTGGTTGAATAGGTACAAAAACAAAACCCTTATATATGCTGTCTACAAGAGACCAACTTCCAACCAAGGGACACATACAGACTGAAAGTGAGGGGATGGAAAAAGACATTCTATGCAAATGGAAATCAAAAGAGAGCTGGAGTAGCAATTCTCATATCAGACAAAATACACTATAAAATAAAGACTATTACAAGAGACAAAGAAGGACACTACATAATGATCAAGGGATCAATCCAAGAAGATGATATAACAATTATAAATATTTATGCACGCAACATAGGAGCACCTCAATACATAAGGCAAATGCTAATAGCCATAAAAGGGGGAATCGACATTAACACAATAATAGTAGGGGACTTTAACCCCCACTTTCACCAATGGACATCTCATCCAAAATGAAAACAAATAAGGATACACAAGCTTTAAATGATACATTAAACAAGATGGACTTAATTGAT